AAAAAAGATTAAAAAAAATTAATCGGCTCCGCTTCAAACATTGAAGCCCTCAAACATTGAAGCATTACCGGACTCTGCCACCGAGTCCGAAGACCCCATCACGTCGACGAGACGCTCTCGCCCATCACTACCATCAACGTTGAACCGCCCGAGTCCTCCTCCGACACGCACTCCCCACCCAAGGCATCTCTTCCGAGCCTCCAAAACTCCCACCCAAACTCCCACCAAAGACCAACCAATCGATCGCGTCAATCGCCAGTCCGATGAAATTTCATAGCTCGTTACGACCACAATGCAGTAACTGGAGCAAAAAAAGCCTACTCTCGTACTCTCTGAGAAAAATCCACATTGTTACAGCCTGCTATTTGGAGAAAGGATCCTGCTAGATCAAAGTCTTTCGGATGGAGACCACCCGATCTCAGTACCATCTGTCGCCAGGTTGCCCGTCAAGCATCTCGATAGTTTCCTTTCCGGGAATGGTTTTGACACCAGGCGGTTTGTACATCCCACTGAAGGGGGCTAGTATTAGGAGGGAAATGCTAGAAAGACAGCTGCTTGCATCACACTTAAGGAGGCTATCATTAGGAATGAAATCCTAGAGTCTGAATTTTAAAACGCTGTTCACGCACCGCGTGCTCAGTATGACCTTGATCCTTGTGGCTCATCGAGAGTAAAAACCCACAGTCCCTGAGAGACATTTGCAGTCTTCGTGAGCCTCGCCTCTATCTAACCTAGCAATTAGCGGGCCGGAATCGTTCGGTGTGACCTCAGCTGCAGCTGCAGGAGTATGTCGTGTTCTTCGAGGATGTAGCCATGATGCGGATGTTTGGAATTTCAGTTGGTATATCATGCACTTCAATTGTGGCTTCGCTTTCGGCCTACGAAACAGAGCCAACCTGTCCCGTTGCTGAAAGCCTCCAGCACAGCATTCACTGTGGCGTTTAGATAACAGTCTCAAGATTTGAGATCCACCAGTGCAAAGAGAGGGCGTGCCTGAGTCTAGGGCTTACCATGGATACCAAAATTCTCAAAAATAAAAAATTTGTTATCCGCATCGCTGTCCATTTCGCAACATCTCATATCCCCGGTTCCAAAGCTGCTGCGTCTGAATTGGTGAAGAGCGAGTGATGCGAGAACAGAACAAGAATCGGGGATGTTGGTTAAGCTGCCGGAGGAGTTTGGCGATGTGGTGGGGGATGGGGCCGAATGAGTTAAATATTGGGTGTGTGGTATCTATCTTCTTTCCGGAATATCTTCTCCGAAGCAAGGGTTGATGTACTGAGTGCGATGCTGTAGTGTAAGCTCAGTGACAATATCAGCGTGGACATGAAGGAGCCTTCCTGCGGTATCCTGATGTCTCCTCCGTTAAAGTTAAAAACCTCTGGCCTGACGGTGATCGTAAATCTCGAGCATTGCGAATTTAGGATAAATCCCCTTGCCTGACCTTGATATACGCGACATTAATATCTGCAAATTGTATGAGGGATGAGAAGTCTTTGGCACCTTCTCATAACACCATATATAGGCACAAGCGCGTCGAGATGGTCAAGATTCGAAGTTGTTGTAATTCGTGGCCAAGGACACTGGACAGTGCGAGTAATTGCGACTATCCTAAATCTCACTGGGGAATTTTGAATACTATTTCAGGTTAGTAATTTGAAGGAGTAATTGAGAATGGGAAATGTAGGCAGTTTTCTCTGCGTTGATGGTAATGTTTGGATAAGCTGGAGTCGTCGTCGTAAATAATCTCGCTTAGTCAGGGTCCGACCTACCACTCTCATTACGTAGCTAGCTCCGTACTCCCCCGTCTCTAAGCAAGCCTTGCACTTTTGCACCAAACCTACAATTGCTTTTGTGAGCAATTCGAGAGCAACACTCAAAACACTCTCAAAATGGAGAATCTCACAGCGGCACAGCGAGTGTTAGCAACCCCCGAACTTCTCGAGATCATCCTCCTTCCACTCTCCCATGTCGACCTCCTCGTCCGCGCCAATCTTGTCAACCACAGCTTCCACAACGCCATCAGCACCTCTCCCCCGATCCAGAAACGCTTATTCCTTCTCCCGGCTATGGACGGCACCGTCCGGGGTCCCTGTCCCTTCCTGCGTGCCCGTGGCCGTGTTCTCAAGCACGTCGATTACCGACGAGGCCAAACAATCGAAACCGACACAAAGGTTCTGATCATCCGATGGGAGGAGTACACTGACTTCAGCGGATTTGATTACTGGAGATCTAGTGCAGAGAAGAAGGCGGCGGTCGAAAGGAAGGAGGCGAGCTGGCGGAAGATGCTGGCTGTACAACCTCCGATTCGGCAACTCATGATATTTCCCCATGAGTGTTGGATAGGATCCGGCGCCGAAGATGCTGAGTGGCTAAGGATGGATGCGTTCGATACGGGGGGGGAAACATGGATCGGGATCAAGTATCGTCAGCTTGTCATCCACCGGGATGGGCAAGGGAGGATCACTCAGACTGGTGATATGTGGGGTTGCTGATATGAATGAAAGCCCGTCTCTTCTCGACCAGGTGCAAGTGCAATCTGAGATGCTGGATAGAATTGCACTCAAGCCAAGCTGAGCCAAGCTGAGAGGGCTTTGATCTGATAGTGATAGCCTGCGAGAGTGGAAAGGTAAGAAAGAAGCAAAGAAAAAGATGATGAATGAGCGTTATTATCAATGTTGGTTACAATTCCATTCAGCACGCCAAGTCGTGATCTGCTCGACACTTTCCACTTCCACAATTTATACGTCATGGATCCAACATGCGGCCTTTACTTCATAACTTCAACTTCAACTTCAACTTCAATTGCAACCGCACACCCCAGCTCTGCAACCTTTCAATAAGCTGACACAACTCACAATATAGTACATAGAACAACAAGCCATGGCCGCCAAACTATCCATCAACGACCTGCTCGCCCTTCCCAACTCCGCAGTCAAGATTCCCAGATTGGGCTTTGGGGTCTATCAATCTCCAAGCAAGCAATGCGTCAACTCCTGCTTGACCGCGCTCAAGGCTGGGTACAGGCACATTGACTCGGCGCGTAAGATTCTTTCTCTGCAACTGCAACTCCGCCCTTCTGGTCGGAATCCTCCTCTTACAATCCCTAGAATACTACGCCAACGAGAAGGAAGTTGGTGAAGCCGTGCGTCAGTCAGGCATCCCCCGATCCGAGGTCTTCATCACCACCAAGATCATCGCAGCCGCGGGTAGCGTGGATAAGACGTACGAGCAGCTGGTAGAGAGCGTTGATAAAATCGACGGCAGCAATGGCTATGTCGATCTTTTCCTGATACATACTGCGAGCGGTGGCTCCAAGGCTAGGAAGGAAATGTACACGGCGCTTGAGAAGCTGTTGGAAAGTGGCAAGACCAGAGCCATTGGAGTCAGCAATTGGGGCATTGGCCATATCGAGGAGCTGAAGGGCTTTGCCAAAGTTTACCCTCCACACGTCAATCAAATTGAGGTATTTCGCTCTAGAAAATGGATTTCGCACAAGCTCATCTCGTAACGTAGCTGCACCCATTCTCTCAACAGCGAGAGGTCGTCGACTTCTGCCACAAGAACGGTATTATCGTCGAAGCATATTGTCCTCTTGTTAGGAATCAAAAGGCTAACGACCCAACCCTTACCAAAATCGCCGAGAAACACAATAAGGCGGTCAGCCATGTGTTGATCCGATACTGCTTGCAGAAGAATTGGGTCCCGCTGCCTAAGAGCGACACCCCATCCCGAATCATTGAGAATGCCAATGTCTACGACTTTGAGCTGTCGAAGGACGAGATGAAGAACATAGATGATCTGGATCAGGGTAGCAAAGGGGCAATCGTCCAGGCTGTTACGAACACTCTGTAGATTCTGGATCGGGTATGGAACGACACTTAATGACCAATAATTATTCGACCAATTTCCCCCCCCCCTCTGCTCCCTCAAAGCATCCTGACTCTTTGTTGTGAACACTTGGCTTCAAAACATGCAAACGCTTCGGCCCGGTATTATATCGATATACTTGCACTCGACTAAAGCTCGAAGTTTTCTTTTAAGGGTTCATGGTCACAGAATCTCAAATTCTTTCCGCTAGCTAAGTCGGCTCGCTTCGCAAACACGTCTCGCTCTTCACTTCGATTTGCCGAATGTTTTGTTGATTCCCTCGTATTTTATGCCGAGGCTTTAAGCGTTTTGATAGGTTGTTTCAAGGCCTTGATGCCAGCGGTAATATACGGAACGTCGCAAAACAATAGTCCTAGCGCCCTAAGCAGGCTAGTCTTGGGTGGCATCGTGAATGGCTTCCATTGCTATGCAGCACAGACGTCGCGAATTTAGGTTTCGAAGAGGAGACATCTCCAAAGACATCTCCAAAGACGAGTTCAAAGCTAGAGAATGTGATGGACCGAAGCATAGCTGGCGAGCAACATGCGTCACGCTCGTTTTGCCGCTACGTTTCCTACCGCTGGCGTGAGGCTATTCCGGCATGGCCTGCATGGACAGCTCGCAACGCAATCATGGCAATGCAGTCCGCTCACTCAATGCTATAAGACCCATCGGTGCGAAGCTATCTCAATACTTTTATTCATATCATCATCTTCATCTCCATCTGCAGTTCAACATTCAAAATTTGCCTCACCATCTTATTATATCCTACAATCCTAACTTTAGTTCTTCCGGTGCGAAGCTATCTGAATACTTTTATCCATATCATCATCTTCATCTCCATCTGCAGTTCAACATTCAAAAATTGCCTTACCATCTTATCATATCCTACAATCCTAACTTTAGTCCTTAACTCAACACCAATTCAAAATGAACGCCATCACCAGTGCCATCATGAGCAACTCGAAGCTCAACGTGACGCTCATCAAGATCACGGATGCCACTCCTGAGTACGTCTCTCAGTTCCCACAAAGTTTTTGAACACTCGCTAACAATACCAGCTCCTTTGTTATGTCCATCGAGGCCGAGGTCACCGGTACTGGGCCCGTAGGCGCCACCATCGCCGAAATGACAGTTGAACTTGTCGGCCCAGGCGGCGCCTTCGGCAAGCTGGACCTCCCCGTCATCAAAACCAGCTCTTCGGGGGCTAAAGTCATCATCTCCAGCCAACACATCAAAATTTCGGACAAGGCCGCTTTCAAAGCCTTCGTTACCGCCATCCTGCGCGACGAGTCCCTGGTCCTCAAGCTCCAGAACGGCAAGGCCCAAGTGAAAGCCATGGGCATGAAAGCCGAGATCGACTACAACAAGGACTGCCCCCTGAAGGGCATGAACGGGCCCAAGACGTCCATCTCGAAGACCGTCGTCGAGGGCGGCTCCTTCAAGAACACGCTGGTGGTCGAGAACCCATCGCCCCTCGAGCTGGACCTGGGCACCATCCAGCAGGAGCTGCGCAACCAGGACGGCAGCGTCATCGCGACGCAGTCGGGCAAGGCGTACCTGTCGCGGGGCCAGTCGACCTACGACGTCGAGGGCAAGCCGTCGGGCAAGGCGGCCGGGGCGTCGGCGACGCTGGTCGCTACCGGCGTGGCCGAGAACAACTGGCACAACGAGACGATCCAGGCTTTCCAGGTGCCCGTCACGCTCCCTGCCGAGCTGGTCACCATCTGCGCTTGAGAGTACCTGCGCACGCAGCAACGCATACTCCTTGGGTGGGGTAGGGTAGGAACCGGCAGAGGGGGATGGCTAGATGCTGGCATCGTTTAGCCTGGTGGTAGAATTTCTAGTATGAGCTAGCTAGCGAGAAATTCCCAGATTGTTCTCCCCCGTACATTTCAGTCATTCAGAGCTGTGCAAACCGTATTTGAGTAGCGCTCGCTATCTCTCTCGTTCGGTCCTTTTCCCGGTCCAGAACATTCAAGTGACGGAGTGATTATTACAGCCGTCGTTGTTTTCATCTCACGCCAAGGTAGGTTTTCCGCCAAGGGAAGCGAGGAAGCTTACGAGATAAGTACTTTGGTAAATACTACGTATACGGGACAGGTCCGCTCATGGATTGATTCATTTATTCGCTACGCATCTCCTTTGTCGTATCTCGGCTCGCAACTGACTTCCTTGCTTCATTCACTCTACCTTTCCAATTAACTCTCTCTCCTCCCCCCCCCTTCTCCTCACCGAAGAACTCTAAAAGTCGGAATCTTTTTCCATATCATATTGCATTAAATTACATTATATCACCGCACGTTATATTATATTATAATATATTGTATCACATCACATTATCAGCTGCGATAAAGCAAAGCAAGGAAAAGTAAGCTCGAAGGGACCTTCCTTGTTCTTCTTGTTCTTCTTCTTCTTCTTCTCCTTTCTACCTCAACTCCCAACTCCCAACCCCCAACTCCCAATCCCCAACTCTCTCTCTCTCTCTCAACTCCCCCCCCCCTCTCTCCCCCCGCCAGTAGTCAACTTCTCCCCACCCACTCACCACCCACCCACCCCCTCCCCCCCCTCAAAAGATTCCATACAGCTGTATCTGTATATATATACCCATCGCCTTCCACCACACAGACACAGACACAGACACAGACACAGACACAGACAGATAGTACCATGTGAATGTGAAGGCAGACATGCGTGCAACGCGATTCTCCCATCCGAGATCCAAGACCCGAAAACCCGAAAACCCGAGTTCCGTTCCGTAAGGGTGCTACTGATATACTACTGATTTACTGATATTCTGTGATACTGTTTCCCCCCCCTCCCCCCTTTTACCCCTCAGAACGCATCCACCACCGCATCCAAGTAAGGGACTCGTGGAGGCGGTGGACGGTTGGTTGGTTGGTTGGTTGGTTGTTTGTTTGGCTGGTGGTACGGAACCCGCTTCCTTGTTCGTTTGGGACTTGGGGGTCAAGGGGGCCGTCAGATGTCTCTAGGTGGAGGAGAGGAGAGAGAGGAGAGAGACGAGAGAGAAGAGGGAAAGGGGGCTTCGCGATCAAGATAGAGAATAGAAACACAGAAGTGGTTCTTGTAGTCCGACATCTATCATCCCACCGTTGCAAATCATCAGGACAGACTCGAGACAAAAAACGGGATTTGTATTTGATTTTTTTATTTTGGAGTTGGACAGATGCTACGTGTTGAAAGGTGTGGACCATCTCTCCACGCCAGGAAGCTCGGCTCTCTCTCACCCATCTTCCCGTACATGAAGCATGAACCCCCTCTCTGGCAGCGCGCGATTGCCGCCGAGATAGCCATCTCCCCATCCCCTTGCTCTGGCTCTCGCTCTCAAACCCCCATCCCTATTCCCCTCCCCCTCCTCATCGGAATCGAGATCGCGCCCGTCCTCATCCTCGTCCTCGTCCTCGTCCTCGTCCGCGTCCGCCCTCAGCAGTCTCCAGGGCGGCGCCACCCATCCCGTCTTCGTCTCAAGCGCCTCAGCAGCCTCCGCGACCTTGACTTCGAAACCCGCGGTCCACTTCCCCTCTAGATCGTCCCCCGAATCCTCGCTTCCGCTTCCGCTTCCGCTTCCGCTTCCGAGCCCCTGCTCTGAACCGCCCCAGGAAGCGCCAAAATCCTCCCGCAACACTCGGCCCTCCGCACCCTCCTCGAGAATCCAGACTTCCCTCACACCCGAGAACTTGCATCTCAGAACGTCCCAGAACTCGTCCAGACTCTGTAACGTCACGCCATCGATTCCTCCTCGGCCACGAGACCTTCCTCTCTCTTCCCCCGCCGCCATACCCACCCCGACCCCCACCTCCAGGCCCAGCTCCAGTCCCAAGCCCCCTCTTCCCAGCTCGAGGTCTGCCCATCTCCGCTTCTCCTCCTCGACGAACAGGTCCTGGTGGACCGCTATCCGCTCGACGCTGCGCAAGGAGACAGGGTCGGCAAGCGTGTGCACGCGGGTGAAGTTCTGGAAAGTCGCCATATATCCATCCTTCCTAGGAAAATAGAGGATGTCTTTCCGCGGGGCAAAGTTTATGATTGACGGGGTGGACAAGCCGCGCAGGGAGAAGAGAGGTGGGTAGTGGTCCTGGGTGTAGAGACGGGCCTCGGGCGAGACCTGGAGGAGAGGAGGACGTGGCGTGGGAGTCGTGAGCGCGTAGGAGGAGTAGGGGCGCGAGACCTGGTCGCGATTGAGTTGGCGAGGCGGCAAGTAGCTTGCTTTCGGGGCCGAGGCGGACCTGGGGGCGGTGTAGGTGATAGGGACGAGGCGCGGAGGAGGGGAGGCAAAATCGTAGATCTTGTAGCGAAGTTCGGCGGGGAGCCGGGGAAAGGGATGGAACTGGAACTCCCGATTCGCGGAACGCGGGCGTTCCATCGTGATAATCAGAAGGATCGCACTTTGTCCTGCTTTCGCTTGTTGTAGATATGCTGTAGATTCGAATACTCGCTTGCCAATCTAGAATCGTCCGAAGTTGATCGTGGAGTAAATCAATGGCTTTTCCGAGGTAGTCTAGAGTCTGTCTGATATTCAGGCAGCCTTCGTTTTCAAGCGAAGTGGGATGTCGTGGCTTAAGGCGGATTCCTTCCAGAAGGAAAAGAGAGACGAGAGCGGATCGTTTCCCCGCGTGCAGATCCAAAGGCTTGGTAATTTGGTCCCGAATACCTGGGTCCAGATCTTCCGCCCCGGCGGTGCCTCGATGATCGATACTTGTACCACCCCGAGTCGGAAGCATGCACGCCCAATAGAGTATATATAGATATATATAGATATATAGATATATATTTATAAATATATATATATATTGATATACACATGTAGACATGTATATCGGGCAGCCCTTCCAGCTCCCCATACCACTCAAATGAGCTCAAGTGGGCCCTTGGCCCGCCGCCGTGGGTGGTGACTTGTCAGAGTTGACACGATGGCGCTCTAGAGGCTACTGATTGTCCCGCGACGGGCACGCCGAAAAGCTGTCCCGACGACGAATGTTGATCGGATTGCTTCGCTGGCCGACGAGGAGCTGAAGGCGATGAGAAAGAGGTGGCTGGCAGAATACCGTGAACGTTCGTGGCGGGCTTGAAGAGGACTCCGCTGGGGGAATGGGAATTACCGTGTCTTGATCCTGGAGAATGCGAGCGAAGAAGGCGTTTTGGCGTCGAGCATTAAGACAAAAAGGCGAACGACGATGTAGATCTGTATCCAGATTTCGAATGACGAAATTAGAAATCGCATGATTGGGGAAATCGTCATGCCGTCTAAGCCATAAGCCAGAGTTCTAGGCAAGGGCCATTGCCTCCCAATGATACACTCGAGATTCCAAGAAGTTGATTGGATCCAAGTCTGTCGGCGAGGCATTGCTCTGGACTGGCCCAGCTGAAAGGACAAGCGAGAAGTGCAACCAGAAGTAAAGAAAGTGTGACCCCAGCCCAGCCACAAAAACAGATGCACGTGAAAAGCAGATTTCTGCTGCAAGATCCCCATTACAAAAGTGCATATTCGTTTTTCTCCAGCGCTTGAAATCCTGAAGGCCAAAGAGCATGCGTGGGCTATGCCATTAGACTCGATGAAATGACCTTGTGGTGAGCATCTTTTCTGGTACGGTGGTACGGTGGTACGGTGGTACGGTGGTACGGTGGTACGGTGGTACAGTGGTACGGCCCAGCAGGTGCGTCGACGTCCGAGCCTATGAGCGGTTTGTGGTCAGTGGGCATGCCTATCTCTACCCCAACTTTGTACTAGAAAGTATTGGAGCGTCTAGAGAAAGTCGATTAATCATTAACGGATGTGTACCGGTAGTTGAAGAAACACCTCCAGCCCTGCTCGTCGAGCGCAGCGCTCGCGAGGTCCATCCTCCGCAACGCACGCAACGCAAACTGAGCCTGCCGATCGATAAGTCCGAAGACGAGCAGAACGCAAGTCAACAAACCGACATGGTCACTGCACACTACGTACCGGTACATTAGCTACATACCTAGTATGTCGGCTATACACTCAGACTTGGACTGTGCGCATCACTTGAGCGACAGTACTCCATGACGACTGGACATGGAAAAGAGCATCCGGAGGAAGAGGAGGTTCGGCCAGTCCAGGCGGAAAGAACATGATGCAGCGCTTCAGCATTTGCGATTCCAGCCTGGCCGTCCGTCGATCTCGGTGGCGACATCGAGTACCTGCAGCTTCCAGTTGACTGTATCGCGATACGATGGAGGAGAAAGGGAGAGGAGGAGAGGAGGAGAGGAGGAGAGTCAGAGACCGTTGCGGTGATGCAAAGCAGCCCCCAAGACGCAGCATTGGGGACTTGAGAGTTGGGCAACGGCAGGAGTGGCCCCCCCCCTTCATCCGAGTCTCTGACATCCACACCATGCGGTGTTGAGAAGCCCGCGGTTGTCGTTAACCCAGAGCACCTCCCACGCCACCTCTTGGCTGTAGCTCTGGATCCGCGTCAACGAAAGCTTCGACTCTCCGAGCTTGCAGCTGCGGCTCTGCGCGAGACGGAGAAAGCACTCCCAGACCTCTGTCTAGCCATTCCGCGGATCCTGAAGGCGACTTCCTGCGCGGCGATCTGCCTGTCTCGCGAACATCCGATCTTTGCGAACTATCAGCTAATAAATCTCCTGCTCTCTCATCCCTAGCCTCGCCTACCTGATCTTGCAAATGCGCTTGCCTACCAGCAGCTCATTGCCGAAACATAAGCTAAGCTCCCTTTCCAGCATCATTGCAGAGCAACAAGCTGGTCGCAACAAAGCCACACGCTCTGTGTCCGCGGCCATGACGATGCTGCCTAGAGATTGGCTCAGGTCTTCTTCCCTCTCCTCAGGCAGTCAAGTCGAGGGCCCGGAACGTAACCAAACACTCGGTTGACGTCCGTACTCTGACTCCACATACATACCGGTACAACGTAGCAGTAGTATTATTCTTCCAGCTTTATCAGTCCTCCTATTGTGCCGATGCTGAGCCTAAACACGATCCTGACCCTTCCTGAAGCCGTGGGTGGCAGGTGCAACCCTACCGCTTCTCAACCAAGGCCTCAACACGACAAAGAACCGGGTTTCGTGTTGTCCTGGTAGCCGCACCGATGCTCCGTCACTTCACATATACCCCAGGGGTTGTTGCACTGCACTGCACTGCACTGCACACTACCCACCCGCCGGCCGAGCATCGGGGCGTTGCCAGCTTGTTTTGGAAGCGAAAAGAGAGCTCGGAAGGATTACGGGACCATATCGATATCGATACCGTATCGACATCGCGAGACGAGACGAGACGAGCCAGATTGTCGCACGTGACGTTGCAACCTTCCCTATTTCGGGATTTGTGTTTTACAGAGTACACGCACAGAGAGTTGTTGGTTAGTCATTCAAGAAGAAGCAAGCAAAGTATTTCTACGATTATTTGCTGGTGGTCGCTTCACCCTCCCCTCAACCCTGGAGCCTTTATTGAAAAAGGGCTCCACTGCCTCCAAATGCAGCATGTCGTCATGTGGAGAATGGTCCCTCGGGGATGAGTTCTTATGTAATTAATTGGTTTTCCTGGACTCGGGAAGGAATGCAACAATTCTTATACCTTCTCTTATCCCACAATTCGAGGAGTCCAAGTTCGTCTCTGTTCTTCGTCGTTCGCTCCGATGGAACGAAGTGCCGCGATGTTTGGGTGTGGAGACCATGAGTAATGAAAATTCGAACATTCTCCGGTGTTGAAATTGTCGAGGAGCCTGCTGACAGAGAGAGGATCGCGATCGAAATTATCCTTTGCTCCGGCAGAGAGAGTGAGAGAGAGAGAGAGAGAGAGAGCCTGGCAATTCATCCGCTCCAGGCTGATTCAGCAGACGACCTCCAGCCCCTTGCCTTCCCCCAACCAACTATGACGATGAGGCCAGCAGCATCGCAAATCGGATTGTTGGTTGATCGATTGATTGATCGATTGATTGATTCCTTGCATGCAGGTCTGCCTTTCTCTGCGCTCTGACCTCGTCCCCAGTTTCCCAATATAAAAAAAAATCAATTGTTTGATTGCTGGGCAACAATGATGGCTGGGCAACAAGTCAACGTTTTTTTTTTTGATTGCTGGGCAACAGATCAAAACAAATAAACAGATAAACAAATCAACAAATAACAAAAGTCAACAAGGTCCAAGCGCGCAGACTTCTAAGCGAGATCCAAGAGGCGGTCAGGATGTTAGGATGTGAGGATGTCAGGATGTGAGGATGTCAGGATGTCAGGATGTTGGGATGTTAGGATGTTAGGATTCAGCAAAAGTTGATTATTTGGACGTTCTCTCGTATTCCATTGGCCAGACCAGAAAAGTGTTTTTTCCTCTTCCCTGTTGCATACAGCAAGAAATTGAAATGAGGAATCCATTTTGGACCCACTTGCCGTGTGTGTGTGTTGTGTACGGAGTCCCTACTATACCTACCGGTACCTACCTGCGCCGGTTGCTACTGTACCGCTGCTCCGTACTGCCAGCAGGTACGAAGGCGAAAGTCAAAGAGATAAGTATAGAAAGACTCCAGGGAAGCCTGGAGATTCTGCAGCATTGGGGTCACTGGTCAGTGGGGGTGAGAGTTGATCGCCTTTCGTGGGTCCGATGCCCCTTTCAACCCGCCATCCAATTTCGCTCTCCCATCTCGCAGCAGCAAAAAAGAAATTCAGGATAGACGGGAGGACCCCGTAGGTCCGTAGGTTCGTAGCACGTCGGGGGAGAGCCGGCGTTTCGAAAACGTGACCTCCAATCGCAGACTGAAGACCGGGATCAGGATAGACGGCGATCGGCCAAGACTTGATCCACATAGAAACTGCATCTCCATCTCGCTTCTTCTTCCAGCCGCATCTCTCGATTGATCTCGCTGGACTTGACTTTATGCTTTGCCAATTCGGCAGCAGAAGTCAGCACAGTGAGCGCAGCAAGCTCGACATGCAGGCAACCTGGACGCCCAAGCCCATAGTGCCTGAAATTAGGGAAGGGGATGCCCGCTGGGGAAGCTGAGAGAGTGTAGGAGCTAGGGCCTTGGGGGCTGGAGCTCCCCGACTCCCCCATCCATCCTCCACCATAATAAACAAATGCGAACAGGCCACTGAATCAAAACAAATCCGAACGTCATATAAACAAAGGCCCTCTGCCTCTGTTTACCTACCCTTTCCCAACTCTGCCCTTTCCATTTCATCTTTGGTCCTCCCATCCTTCGACTTCCTTTCCGGACTCACTCACCCACCTTCATTCTGCTTCACTTTTATACTCGCTCGGCCTTGTAGCTCGACTCTATTCAGCACCTCGCCCAAGTCAGAACCCTCAACGGTCACCGAAGAACAGCTTATCGTCGGAAGTCATCGGCCCAAAATAGACACCAGCTGTCAGATTCCTCAATCATTTCCAATCAAGCCTTCCCATCCATTTGCGACCGCCTGCGACCGCCTGCGGCTGCAGTCCAGTCCTTCGTTCCACGATTCCACGAGCACGGCCGGCCACATTCTTCCTCCGAGAGAGCCTGCCCTACCTGCCCTCCCTGCCCTTCCATTCTCGCCCTCTCCCTCGCCAAAACTTCAGTCGCTACCCAATACCCGATTGTCGAGATACGGCCATCTGCCCGACGGCATCCGAATTTGTTTTTCCGGCCTGCGAAACTGAGATCGGCGCTTCCGCATATATTGCTTGTACCGGACAAGGATATTTCCAAGGTTGCACATCCGCCAGCTCCCCGCCTCTAGGGACCCCTGCCGTCATTTCATCGGGCCAGACCAACACGCGCCGCGTGTAGGCTTGACCACAATCCATCCACCCGGATTCAAAAGTCTTGTTTATCGCCCGGGTCTTCCAAATTTCGCTGAAATCCTCCCCAGCATTCTCGCGTGCTGCAATTCAGTATTCGCGCTTTTTGAACAATATCCAGCCTTGGTGCATTTCATTCCGGTTCAGCTATTCCTCGGGCTTTGCTTTAGTCGACACATGTCCGTTGTTGCTGTTGTTGTTGGGAACCGCGTAAGGGCTCGGTGTAAACAAATTCCTCATCTACACTGCCCCAGCAAGGGGAGCAGCGACGTCTGGATAACTACTTCACCCCACCATTCCGTATTGTGTTTACCCTGATTATCTTCCGATCCCGACCCATCAGTAATCACAAATCCAGCCCGGACAACCTGTCACCAACCGATTGGCACACCTTATCCTCCTGCAACAGGACGAAGACCGAAAGTCGAAGGTCGAAGGTCGAAACGCCAAAAGCCTGTCGGCCACGCGATCTATAGTCTACCGCTCCACTACTTCCTGCAGTGTACCGCACGGCGCCTCTCACTATTCGACACTTGAGATCCAACCAGATCTGAGTGCACAAACCTAAAGCAGCACGTATTTGGCACTGTCACATTATTCTGTGAAACCCTCGAAAACCTCTGGGCAGAGTTGAAGATCTCGCCAGAACCGACGAAAGAGTCCTTTGAACAGTCGTCGCTCAATGTTCCGCAGTTATCGTGGTGCTTTGGTCGAAGCCCAACACATTGTTTGTTTGTTATCATTCGTTTGAGTGTTCCATCAACGACACGCAACGCGCCACATCTTTATATACCTCTCACCCTTCCCAACCCTGTTTCACAGGACCGCGTCGCTCCATCCCTTTATTATCACTTACTATCAATCCTTTATCACAATGGGAGTTTCTCGAGCCTTGCCTTTCGCGCTCGGCGCACTGGCAATATCCAGTGGGGTTGCCATGTTAACTTTCGACATCATATTCGCCATCACTCTCTCCCGGAATTCCCCACCAGTGGAGTTGAAAATGGTAGCAATCGTCGCCTCGGGTACTAGTGCTGTCACGGTGGGGTTATTATTGCTGCTATTAGTACGAGAAATTCAACATCGCACCGGAGCTCAGATCCAGGACCTAGGCCGTGGGAGGCAGCACACATATTTGCTGGCGGCATTAGGGGGGGTTTTCGGTATCTCATCCGCAACTTCATCCGCGGTACTGTTGGGCATGGTGGCTCGTAGGACGCACGAACTTCCCGTGCGGACAATCCTGTCGAAGACCAAAACATTGGTCATTGTCGCATTTATCGTGTGGGCAATATCTATCATCGCGGAAGCAATGTTCCTCATCTGCATGATTATCATTCAACGGAAAGACAGCCAATATGACCAGGAGTACGGGCGTGACGGCGAGCCACAGAATCTGGCTGAGATGGTGGAGTCGGGCAGGCCACGACTTTTGAGTCTGCAAAAGAGCATTGCCAACCACGATTTTTCTTCAATAGGATCCCCGCCTTTGAGTGAGCGTTCGCGAGCCGATTCCGACATGTCTTCATTCCGCTTCTCATTTAAACAAGTTGTTCGACCGATCAGTTCGAAGACGAAACTCATTGCGCATAGCTGCAGGTCTTCGTACAGACCGCAATCGATTGTATCGAATAACGGAAGTCAGTGCGAGACAGTCCTATCTATCGAGGACGGATTCGACTCATGGGATACATCCGGTGTAGATGCGCAATCGCGAGAGGCTGTCGCATCAGCATCACCAACAACCCCACCACGCCTCCTTGAAACAATACCAGCTAGCCCTACGAATAGCCGGAGTGGAAGCCCCGTCTTCCCCTTAGATCTGGAGCCGCCTAGGACAAGGCCGAGGAGTCGAAGCTACAGCCCCGCGAACAGCTGTAGAGACCTTTCCAGGACGACACGGAATCAGGATACGGAAAGCATGAACAGCGAGGCACACATTCACCCATTGTTCCGTACAGACTCCCCAGCACCGCCTCCAGCTGCTACACCTGGCACAATGGTCACGGCAGCTCCTGGTGCTGGACAAGTCATCTCCGATCGTCAAAGTATCCGATCAATTCAGCGTATAAGGAGCGGAAGTCTTCCTTCATCTCCTGTCCTTGGACACTCGGCGAGCTTGGAAAGCATTCGCCAACATATCGAGCGCGAAGAACTGGAGCGATTGGAAGAAGTTGCAGGGCAGAGGAGTTTGACGCCTCCGATTCCTGACTTCATCTTGAAAGGTGTGCCCAGGAATACCATGCAGGTGTACAACTCGAGGAGGAAGCCCGCCGGGTTAGGTCCGTTGGGCGAAGTAAGGTACGCGTAGAATATGTTTGAGAGATAAGAGATGAAGGCTCAACGCCAAACGAATTTCCTTGTTAGAGTATGATGGATGAGTATGATGGATGATGGGATACCATGATGTTAGCGCGGCGTTTGATCCCACCTACCGATATACCTTAGTACATAAAAATAAACATAAAGACTTTCAAATAAAGACCTCAGGCTCAATCTTCTCTTGTGTCTGTTGTGTGATATGGATCTACCACCCAGCCTGCCTTATACACGTGCATGCGCCCGCCTTCTTTCATAGCTGTTATGTGCGTGCCCGTGGCAGATGTGCCTTTTCAGACAAAAGCTTCCAGGAACTTGCCCATATTTGGCCATTCGCCCCCTCGCTGTCGCACAGAGGCTATCTATTGTATTTTCGGCACTTGGATTATTTGTGGCTTTGAGATTCCTTGGGCCAGAGGCAGATAGCTGATAGTGGCGGGGGTAGCTCCTTGACAAGGATAACTGACGATGCGACAAGTGAATTGTGGGTGGGGGTCGCAATTGCACTGTAGCTTGAATTTAAGACAGTATAGACGGGTCCTCATTGGATATTGGGTGAGATGTTTGTTGAGGCTCTGTTGCTTGCGTTGGATGATGCAATTGAGATGGATAGACAGGGTGGGTGAAAGAGGTTGAAGTTGTAGTTGTAGTTGCAAGGCTGAGAAGTTGCGCGGTCATTCTTCTGCCTGAAGCTAAGTACTTAGCGCCCCACCATCCACCTTCCACCTTCCACCCAACACGAAATCACAACTCTCCCTCCCTCGATATTTGTGGCCTGAAAGTGGATCGAACTCCGTCCTTTTCGAATCAAAACTACATTCTCTCAAATCACCATCCCCATACTCGTTCTCATAAACCTGGTTCCACGCGCGAGCTGCTCCGTCACCACCATGAAGCTCACTTTCAAGGTACTTACTTGTGTTGCCCGCTGCGATCCTCCTCTTTACCCCTCCACCTCCACCTCCACCAGCGGGCATGTATGCTAACATGGCTTCTTACATTAGGACTTGAAGCAGCAGAAGTTCGTGATCGAGGCCGAACCTTCAGAGCTGGTATGCCTTCCCATGCCCCGCGACCGACGGCGACAAGATCCGCATATCGCCCAGCCATAGCCTAGCTCGTCGACCCAAGCTGACATGTCTACACAGATCTCAGATGTCAAGGAGAAGATTACCAAGGAGAAGGGATGGGAAGTTTCGCAGCAGAAGCTGATCTATTCAGGTTCGTGGCGCAACTTGCCTAGGCGCATTACAGCCTGCTTACACAAAATTCTAGGCAAGATCCTGCAAGATGCCAACACTGTCGAGTCGTATAAGATCGAGGAGAAGGGATTCATTGTCTGCATGATCACTAAGGTACGCGAGGAAATTTCTTGTTTTGGCAAAATCTAACATGCCGTGTCAGCCCAAGCCTGCTGCTGCAACTGCAAGCGTTGCCTCGAAAGCCCCCCCTTCTACCCCCGCAGCTCCCGTCGCCGCCTCTACACCAGCTCCTCCTCCAGCTCCAGCCCAGGCGAGTGCGCCGGCCCAAGCTGTTCCCGCTACACCTTCCCCAGCCGGTTCAGGTGCCGCTGCCGCTGCTATTTCCTCCACGCCAGGCGGAGCTACCTCTGGTCTTTCTATGGGCACTGATCGTGCTGCGCAAATCGCCCAGATGGAGAATATGGGTTTCGAGAGAACACAGATTGATGCTGCTATGCGTGCTGCTTTCTATAATTCAGAGCGTGCTATCGAGTATCTTATTAATGTAAGTGGACTCTAGTACTGTTTTCAATGTTCCGCTGACACGTTGACAGGGTATCCCGGAGAATCTCCAACAAGAGCAAAGAGCCTCAGCCCCGGCTGCCGCTCAACCTGCCGCCTCACCGTCTCCTGCTGCCGCAAACCCAGCTGCCGAGGGGGGAAACGCGCCGGTAAACCTGTTCGAGGCCGCAGCTCAAGCTGGAGCCGGTGGACGTGGAGGAGCTGCAGGTCGTGGAGGAGCTGCAGGGATTTTCGCAGGTGTTGGAGCTGGCGATGCCGCTGCTGGTGGATTGGGCAACCTGGATTTCCTCCGAAACAACCCTCAATTCCAACACCTCCGTCAAGTCGTCCAACAACAACCCGGAATGCTTGAGCCTATCCTCGCCTCCGTCGGTGCTGGTAATCCGCAATTGGCGCAACTGATCGGACAAAATCCTGATCAGTTCCTCCAGCTCCTGAGCGAAGATGCCGGAGACGATGCGCCACTCCCACCAGGAGCTCAAGCCATCAGTGTTACTGAAGAGGAGCGTGCGGCTATTGAGCGGGTAAGTGACCTCGATTTGATATCACTGAGATCTGCTAATGAACTATAGTTATGCGCTCTTGGGTTCCCACGCGATCTCGCTATTCAAGCCTACATTGCCTGTGACAAGAACGAAGAGCTCGCAGCCAACTTCCTATTTGAACAACCAGATGATGATGACATGATGCAATGAGAATATCGTCTGCCTCTTTTGCTTGTTTACTAGCGCCACCTATCTTCCCAAGTATTGAACGATTTTTTTTCCGAGTCTGCCTATCGGCTATACTCTTCCCACGTCATGTGAAAAGGTGTTGGGCCTTCACGACTGCGGCTCTTCGCGTTATTGATAGACCACTGGGTCTTGCTCGTTGGTTTTTCGAGCCTAGCGCATGTTCCCGAGCGAGATTCGGGTACTCTGCATGGTACTTTGGTATCATTGGTGGCGGATGGCGGATGGCTGGATGGGGTAGGTATGCAACGGGACTAACGTGGGAGGATACCTTTTGCATGCTACGTAATGAGCACACATCCATCAGTCTTTTTGCCATTTTTCTTTCCAAACTGTCCGAGATTTCATGAAGTGATTTTGCTTGCCAAGATTTTATCCCTCAGGTTTGTTTCGAAAACAGGCCAAGTGGAGCTTTGCATTAGGTTAGAGACTTGCTCTCTTCGCGCATCTTTTTCTTTACTTTTGTCTTCTTTCTCTTTTTCCCCTCACACTATGTACCATTTCTTCGCCCACAACCTATCATTACCTTTGGGGGGCATTCAGTAGTTTCAAACCCAGCCTAATTCTTTCCTATTTCAAACTACCTACTTTTTTACTCACATCTTGATCGTCGCTATCGCCGGATCACCAGCACCCATCTGTTTCCATCTCCCATACTCTATCCTACTACTTTTTATCCTTTACTGACGAATCCTATTCTTTCTCTCTACACGGGAGGCTACGAAGCCATCCTTTAGCCCTCGCGGCTCGACCAACTCGTGATTTGTACTCTTTTGGTCAACTCAAGAGCTGCGACCCGATTCATGAAGTCTCTTGCTGATTCATTTCGCTCGCTCATGGGGTTCTCCGTGGTAATGTTTTGGGGGTCTGGTAGTAAGTTGAACTCGTGAACTCGTGAACCAGTCTGATGTGTGCATATATATACATATATTCATATATATTCATAAGCAACGCTTACTCATGAGTTACGATATTTTTAAATTTCATTTCTTGATGAATTGGTAGTGTTATCTAACCGTTGCTAGCTAGCTAGCTAGACTAGCCCTCCGAGATAACGAATTTCATTTCTCAAAATCGGCCATAGGCGAGATTTTTCTAATGGATCGAGATTTTTGATGAATTGAGGGTGCCGAAGAGAGGCCTTTACGTAGTTAGTTACTTTCTTGGGTACGTTATGTAGTAGGTAGATGATTGGGTTGTGCCCCGCTCTCTCTCTTTTTAAGCATGAACCGACTCCTCTCGGCTTCGGCCCGGCTCGGCTTTTAGGTACGTTCTCTAAGTAGATATCTAGATATCTAGATATTGCCGGGTCCTTCTTGAGTTCAAAGAGGGGAGGGAGAGAGAGAGAGACGGAGAGAGAAGATTTCTATTCCATGTCTCTTCGCATACGGTATTCTATCCGGTATATCGTATTGTTATCACATATGCGTTTTGGATGCTCTGGTTTGGCTTGGTATTTTTGTAGTCATCTCTATGGCATAGGTATATCTGATTGACCTTGTCTTGTGATGCTGGGTAATTAGTTTATTTCCAACGTCAGAATTTTAGGTAGATTTGAAAGCAATTGTAGACGTAGAAGAAGTTATTGATGTTGTGATGTTCTGCTGTCTGCTGCATGTCCGATGCAAAGGTGAGACACAGTTTCTCCGCTGCAGCATGGTTATTGTCTGACCTCGAGAAGCACTGGCATACGGAAAACCTACAACTAATTCCTGGATATCGTCATCGTAAACCATCGTGTTTCTCGTCGTTGGACTAAGTTTATACTTCTGGACACTTCGTCCACGCCAAGACCTAATAAATGTATGAAGTGAAGATCCATGCATCGTGATAATCTTTTCTCCTCCAGATATTGCTTACCTACCGGTACTCGAGCGTGACATTATTGCAGCTGTAAGTGACTGCACTGTTCTGCTGACCCGGAACTCGACGTGATCTTGAGATGGAACATTAGATATAGGTATAGCTCAATACTACTTATAATAAATACCTACCCATGTTTACCATAATTATAACTTACTCCTTAACTCCTAAATGTAGGTACCGGTATGCTAAGGTATTCTCCACCACCCGGCTCCACTTCTCCTGGTCTCGTAGCCAATCAGAGGCTGCCGCTTGAACTGTCTCGAGCGACAGTGCGTTTTGATCTCCAGATATCGATATCGATCCTCAATCTCAATCTCAACTTCAATCAATTCACTCGCCGCCGACCCTTCACATCTTATTGTCCTGCCCCAAAAAGCTCAGCACAATAGTGGCCTCACTCGCTAACCAATCCAATTGTGGTTCCATCGCACACTTGCAAAGATTTTCGTCGCTCCAGACTTTCCTTCCTCCATCTTGCAACAACACCCTTTTCCCACATACACGAACCCATTGCCTCAATTGATACCCAATCCAATCACGAATGCCTCAAGTGTCATCTGTTCCTTCAGCGGATTTCTGATTATTACAGTTCTGCAACTTCTTCCAACCTCTTCGCAACTCGTCGTCTACACTTCTTACAGCAAGCAAGATGGCGCCAGCTGCAGCTCGTCACGAGACTGCACTGGATGGTGCTGACGACAAAACACTTATGCCCTATGGGACCCGAGGTTCTTCGAAGCGCAAAGCTGCTGAGATTAGTTCGAGTCCTTCTGCTCCTCCACCTGCTGTATCTGCTCCAAAGGCGTCTACTCGCTCGTCCAAGACTAAACCTGCAGCTCAAAAGGCGACTTTATCAACTGAGCCCCGCCAACCCCCGGAAAAGAAACGTCGCTCATCACCAACACTTCCACCCGATGATCTCAGCTCTCAATCTTTTGCAATTCAACTGGCCGATGGTCAGGTCTGCCAGGATAATTCTGTCAACGGCGATCATCAAATTCACTCCCCAATTCCAGAGGCGGGCGATCAAGTCCCAGGATCTTCGGCTACCCCCGGTCCGGATGCAGATTCACTAAGCCAACCCATTCCGGATGTCCAAGTTGATCCTCCCAGCGAATCCTCTGGCGATATCCAAGACTCTTCAATTCTAGAAGATGATGTTCCTGAGGCTGAGCTTGCCAATGGCATGGGCAATTCTGGCGCTGGTCGAGGCCGGGGACGAGGCCGTGCCAGTCCTAGAGGTCGAGGCTCATTAAGAGGCCGTGGTTCCAGAGGTGGCCGAGTCAGCAAAGCTACTGCAGTTGGTCGTGGTGGAAAGACCGTAACTCCATCTGCTCGGGGTCGTGGCGGTGGCCGAGGTCGTGGTGGTCGACGTAAGAAGCCTGAGGATCCTGTCATTGATGTCCTCTACAAGCGAAAGGCCGAGCTCAAGGCCCAGTACAAGGTTATTGCGTCTATGCAACGAGAAGCTTTGATTGCTCTTGCCGAAAAGTCACTCGAAATGGCCCTAGCTGATCCTTTTTTTCATGAGGCTCTTCCCGAGTTTGAGGAGGTAACCGAGGCTCTTAAGGGGGAGTTCGAGAAGTGCATAGCTGCAAACGACAAGGAGCTTGGGCAGAAAGCTGGATTGACGAAGCGTACTATGGAGTACAACCAGTATATTGTTGAGCAACAGTACAGAGTAAGTCTTCCCACCTTTCCCTTGCCGAACATAGCTGACCAGTATAGTTACGTATGGAGGAGCTTAAAGAGCAATACGAAGCTCGCCTCATGGAGCAAGCAAATTACATCTATTACAAGAAAACTAAAAACGAGAGAGATATCGACGAGATTCCTTTCCCCAATGGTGTAAGTGCTTCCATCATCTACTCCTGATCAATGTTCATGCTGACTTCGTACAGGAGGATGGGAGAATCGTGAAGCAGTCAGTCCCTCCCCCAAAGCGTGTGCATGGAACTGGACATCCATTCATGGATGTAAGCTTTTTCTCCTTTCCATAGCTGATTTTCTTCTAACACATTCTTAGCCTGGAAAAGCTGTCAGCAATGCGCGCAGTACTCGTGGTGACAATGACTATGAGCAACACCCTGCCAATTGGTGGGAGGCCAAGTCCAAAAAAGAAAAAGCAGCTATTCTCAGAAAGCAAGCTGAGAATGTTGCCGAGAGAGAGAGACTTCAACGCGGTGATAGACGAAAGAAAGGCGGTCGACAAGCTCTCTTCCAGCCCAACGCGCAACAAGAAACCGCCGAGGGCGGAGAAGCCGCTGCGGAGCCCGAAGACGACGCAGAAGAGAAAGCCGAGGAGGAAGTTGTTGAAGCTCCTGCTGAGTCTCTACCAACAACTGTCCCAGGCTCGCCAGATGATGAGGCCGAACCCAATGTAAACGATGATGCTGATAGCGATGCTCGGCCTCAAGACACAGATGATTATGGTGTCAGTATTCCCCACAAGAGAGTTCGTCGCGATCAACCACCACCTTACAACAGAATCCAAGCCAGTGCTCCCGTTGAGTTCGAGCCACATGAGATAGGTCTTCGCCAAACACACTACCAGAAGCAACCAGATGGGACTCACAAGAAACTTGGACGAGACATCGATCCTAATCCGAAGAATGGAAAAGTCTACTACGACCAGAGACAAGGCCGCTACAATGCCGGGAAGAACCAGCCAGAAGACCTCGACCAGGAGATTGTCGCTGCGCACAATCTACATCCGAGACTTGGTCTTCCTATTGCAGGCTCCGTCAACCCTAGACACGACGAATGTTCAGAACCATATTTCCCAAAGCCCACTGACTGGACTCAACCGTGGAAGAACAGTAACCCTGTAATGTTCGTTCACACCGCTCTCGATGGAACTCGCTCGATTTCACGAACATCTCGTTCGGAGTGGATGTATCGAGCTCAGAGAGCATTCGATCAACTCCCTGTAGCCGAGAAGATGGGCGACCTCCTCGACCGATCCGGAGATCGCGAAGTCAGACTAGTTACACCGAGCAGCATCCCATCCTCACCGATTGCCCGCTCCTCACCCGTTGTCCCTTCCTCACCTATTGTCCCCTCTTCACCCGATTCCCCCTCGTCACCGATTGCCCCCTCCCCGCCGAGAGTCATCGCCGCCGATCTCGTCAGCGCCGTTAACCAAGCTGCCGACGAGCAAGCTGCTGAAATTCTTCGCGCCACCGAAGAAGAACGTCTATCCCGCGCCCGAGCAGCTCCCCAGCCTATGTACTCACCCGGCCAACCACAGACGCCATACGTGAACTCCCCACAGGTCGCATACTCCCCACCCAGCGGCTACAATCCTCAGAACCTGGGCTTCTCTCCTCCGCAGCCAACACCCATGGGACCGCCTCCTATCCCCCCACCACGGTCGATCGGCTACGACCCAGTCCGCGACCGCACGTATCTTACGCCTTACATACGAGATCGAGTTTCTCCACCGCGCCGTCCAGCGGCTCACGCAACATTCGCCAACGGTGGGAATCTGTCTGAGCTGGCTAACGCCGCCGATTTCTTCGGGTCGAGACCACCGCGTGGTGCCTACGGAGCTCCTCTCAACCCGTACGAAAACATGCCCATGCCGATAAGCCAGCAACAGCGGCTGTCGGGGTTGACCGGATTCCCTGGGGGTGGAGTGGTTGGATTTGGTCAGCATCAGATGGGTTCTTACGGGCCTCCTCCGCCACCGAGTTCGAGGGGTGGTGGTGGTGGTCATGGTGGTGCGAGGGGCGGACGGGCTCCAGCGAGGGAACTAAGACCGGCTCCTCCGAGTGCGGGCGGTTCAGGACAGCAAGCACAGCAACAGCAACAGCGACCACAGCCACAGCCACAGCCACAGCCACACCAACCACAGCAACAGCAGCCTCCACTTCTGTACAGAGGTTGGCCTGGCTCTGGGTACGGCCAGTGAGAGCTTGACTCTGTGACTTGGTGAGTGAGCATGAACACCCCGGGGGGATTCAGACAGAGTGGAGCAAGCACGACTTTGAAGGAGTCAAATCTTCACTTTCATAAGAAATTGAGGAAAGAGTTGATCTATCAGATTGGAGAGAAGCGTCCCAGACGGAGAAGGGGCGGAATCTGCCCTTGGATCGGAGAAGAAAAGGAAGAAGAAGAAGAAGAAGTTGTATCATAAGGAGCTAGCTGGTTTTTCCCGCTCTTGTAATTCTAGGATGGATGAATGGATGGATGCCCTGGGGTGTATATTTTTTTTGGTTTGGCCTTTTCCCTATGCACTGCAAATATACAGGACAGACAGTAATTGCGAGGGGGTGGCCCACCTGTTTTCGTCTAGGTACTTGCAGTGAGGCGAAATCAGGTGGCCGCGCCTGACGATTAAGTTCTAGAATCCGTGCTACAGCGCACTTTTTTGCATTTGACGACGAGGATGGGGAGGGAAATTTTAATGATTTCATGGGCGAAACTGCCTTCTCCATTGTGAATGAGCTGCTGTGAAATTTTTTAACCCCCTTTTCCTCTGTTTTTTTTCTGCTTCTCTTCCTTTTTCTTCTGTGGTTTTTGTTTTGGTTTTGGGCTTGGGACTCTTGGCTTTGGAATATTGATTGATTGATTGATTGATTGATTTTCATGTGTATGCTCGCTCGAGGGGATGGATGGATACGTCCCAACAAATTTACAGGCGTTGTTGCATACAGGTCTTCGTCTGTCCGTCAGTGTTTCTGATGCATCAGTACCTACATGCATCAGTACAGAGAGTGCAGAAAGAATCGTGGGTAGATATTGGCTACGGACAGAGAGGACCAGGGTGAGGTTATATTCTTTCCTCTCTTTTTTGTTTTATATATATGTTTTCTTCTGTAGTGGTGTTGTGTATGGTGTGTAGTGAGTGCTTTCTTTTTATAGGGCCTGGGGTCGTACGTACTTTAACCCAGCCCGGCTCAACTCAGCTCAGCTCGGCTCAGCTCGGCTCGAACGCCTCGTCTCTCCCTTCAGTCAACAGGGTGGGGATGAGTGAGCCATGCCGGCCGAGGACTTACAGTAGGTATCAGTCATATATGCATGTATGCGATAATGCAACGAACGTGAGTCACTTATGGGTACCTATGAGGGAAGAAGAGATCCGGCCTGGTGATATCTGGGTCATGAATGATAGCTTGGAAAGAAGGTATGGATACCTATCTTTTGAATGGATTCTAGATGTACTGAATGGAAGTTCAAGCTGATTGAGGATGTTTGAGATGGTATTTTCAAAAAGGGGAGAGGCAAAGTAGGTTGATTTTATATTTTATATTTTTACTCGATTTGATGTCATCGCCTCGCATGCTTCCTTCCTTCAAGCCTGATCCAAGCCTGACTCATAAGGCGCCACAAGGTGGGGGGAGGAGGGGAGGGTTCGGAGGGTTCGTTCAACCGCCACCTCCCACCTCAACACCCCTGCTAGTTGTTGATCTTTTCGTGCCCGCTCCATCTCAGTCAGAAAATACAGAATTTAATACTTAAGCAGAGAACGACGAACCATATTCTCCAGCCGCAAGTAACCAGACGCGATACTCACGAACGCTCTTTACATACCCCCTACTCCCAATCCTACATCTCCCGACGTTCCCTTGACCTTGACGACAAACACAAATTCAATCAAATCCACCAGAGCTACAGCAGCATCATGGCGGTCCGCGCTCAATTCGAAAACTCGAACGACGTTGGCGTGTTCTCGACGCTGACGAATTCCTACGCGCTGGTAGCGGTTGGCGCGAGCGAGAACTTCTACAGGTACAATATGCTCCGATGAAAAGCTGTGCGGGAGGGCAAGATCCTGCAGGAGCTAATGGCCGCAGTGTCTTTGAAGCCGAACTCCAGGACGTGATCCCCATCTGCCATGTCACAATCGCCGGCACGAGGATTATCGGCCGCATGACAGCTGGGAACAGAAAGGGTCTGCTCGTCCCTACCAGCACGACCGACCAGGAGCTGCAGCATCTGAGGAATAGTCTGCCGGATGCGGTGAAGATACAGGTGTGTACCCCGCGCCTACTGGACCCCTCCAAAACATATATATATAGATAGATAGATATATATAATAGGCACATTGGAAAGATCTTGTACGCGAAAGCGAAAGAGCAATGGAGTACTGACACAAAAAACCAGAGAATAGAAGAGCGTCTCTCGGCCCTCGGAAACGTCATCGTCTGCAATGACCATGTTGCCCTCGTACACCCCGATCTCGAGCGCGAGACGGAAGAGATAATCGCAGACGTGCTCGGCGTCGATGTCTTCCGCCAGACCGTCGCCGACAACGTGCTTGTTGGCTCGTACATGGCCCTGTCTAACCAAGGCGGCATCGTGCACCCCAAGACCTCCATCCTCGACCAAGACGAACTCTCCTCGCTCCTCCAAGTCCCGCTCGTCGCCGGATCCGTGAACCGGGGCAGCAGTGTGGTAGGTGCCGGCATGGTGGTGAACGACTGGCTGGCGATTACGGGATTGGATACGACGGCGACGGAGCTGAGCGTGGTCGAGAGTGTTTTTAGGTTAGGGGAGGGACAGGGACCGGGAAATATCAATACGGGGCTGAAAGATACGATGGTGGAATCATTCTACTGATTACTGATTCTCGCTGGGATATTTGACGGATGGATGGTCGGTTGGACGGGTGGCTGAATTCTGCTGGGGCAATTTCCGTGCTCGGTGCATGCATGGCGTTTACGGCCGCAAATCTTTGCGATGAATTCATCTGAACAATATACGTATGGAAGTAAAGAGAGGTGGTATGTTGCAGGGTGCCATCACAATGGGACATTGAAATGCGACCACCTGCCGGTACTCTGCGTTAAATTCTCGTGACCATCAGGAAAATCCCCAGGCTGGACTCTCGAACATCAAGAATGCTCTGAATTTTATAACATAACCGGTGACGCGCCTAAACATTTTACCACGGGCAATGGTGGACGGGCAGAACAGACTTGTAGTCATAACCAGTACCATCACGTTTCAGTCCTCACGCTCTTCCCTAAGCGAGGGGCATCATCTCATCTCATCTTGTCTCGTCTCGCTCCACACCCTCTACCTTCTCTCCTCCACTCCTCCACTCCATACTCACAGTCCCTCACGCACATCACCCGCACCATCACCATCCAGCCTCAGTGGGAAAAAACCTTGCCGGCTCGGAGATGACGAAGCCAGAAGAGGCGTCGACGCTTGAGGGTCTGCCTGAGCCTGAGCCTAAGCCTGAGTCTAAAACAGAACTTCCCGTCTTGCGCCGTATGGAGGTTACTGGGAGTGACGGGGAGAGTGGGCAGCAGGGACTCGTGACGCGTGGTGAGATCCCGGATAGTGAGGCTGATGTGGAGGAGGAGGAGGAGGATGCTGCCAGTCCTGTTGAAAGCGGCGTTGGCGGGGACGTTGGTGATGGTGGGAAGGCTGGTGGCGCTTTGCTGGCTGAGGATCCGCTCGTCGATGATCAGGAGGCTGTCCGCACTCTTCGATCGTCGTCACCGGAACCATCTCCGAGCCGAGCAGGCACGTTGAAGGCTGCCGTGCAAGAGAAAGAGGAGACTTTCCCGGTCATCGACAGTCTAGCTACCCCACCCGTATCCACGACAGCTGAGGCCCAACCTTCGCAGGATATGCCGTCGGGGACGCCTGGGGATTCGCATCTCGAGGACGCGGTGGCTGTCATGTCTAATAATGGGGGTAACCTGACGCAGGAGATTAGCTCTTCTATTGAGACATCTGGGGAAAAATTCGTGGAGGAGTTAATCGAGCATAGGGAATCCCAGCTGCAGAGGGTTGAGATTCCCCCGTCTTCCGCCGAGGAGAGTGCTGACGAACTTGAGACGAGTGGGGCTAAGAATGTAGAGCAGGGCAGAGATGTGTTAATGAGCAATGAACCTGTCTCAGAGCAGGACACGATTGATCTTATCCGGGTCTCGTCGGAGGGTAGCTACGAGGATGGAACTATTGACGAGAAGATGGGCGCAGCTTCTATGCCACAGGTCTCCCTTACGGCTTCGGAAGAACAGGCTCCAAAAGCTCAGCCATCACCCGAGAGAAAAGTTATCGTTGGAGATGCTGAGGTGCACTCAGCCACTGTCACGAACCAGCGACCTGCCGAACAAGAGCAAAACCCGGATATTCCATTGTTAGGAAACAACACGGATGAAATTTGCGATAAAGAAGCGCACTCCCTTTTCTCTGGCCAACAATCTATAGCGTCAGGTCTGGAAGAGGTCCAAGTGCCTGAGATTCCGTCATCTGGGGATACAGCAGACGATGGTGCGGACGTCAAAATGCTTCCACTTCCGCTCCCAGACCACCCTGCGTCGCCACGCAAGCAAAAACAAGAAATTGGGGATTCAGATACCCAATCTACAGAAAGCAGGGAGGAGCCCGTCGATGTTGAGATGACGACAGAAATTGTGCCGGAACTCCCTTCTACGGGAAAGACTGTACCTCTATTGATCCCAGATAGCGACGAAGATGAGGATGAGCAGATCGTCGATGACCATTCATCTCAGAAGAAGGTCTTGGAGGGCGTCATAATGCCAGCTGTCGTACAGCCTTCTAGTGATCTGAACAAAAAGGGCGCATCACGAGCTACAGAAGTCGTATCTTCACTACGCAAGCCAGACGCTTCCCCCGTGAAGGCTCCAACCACGACGTCAAATAGCCAACTCAGGACATCGGGTGCGTCTTTCAAAGCACCAAGCACCACTGCCTCTCCAGCTTCATCACAGACCAAGCATGATGACACTAAATCCCCATCCCCGCCTCAGAGCTCCAACGACATCCTCCTCGCCGAGCTCAAAGCCATGAAACTCGCCTCCATCACGGCCCGCAACGCCTCCCTCGCAGCCGAAATTGTGGCCAAACGCGCCAAGTTGGAAGAGGTCACTGCTGAGCTTGCGCACCCTGCTGCCGAGACGGTGAGGCGGCACATCAAGCTACTACACGACTACAACGATATCAGGGATGTGGGACAGGGGCTTGTGGGTATGATTGCTGATAACCGTGGGGTGAGGATTGGAGAGTTGTATGAGGAGTTTGGGGTGGGTTTGAAGGATTGATCGCAAAGGGGGGGGTGAGGAGGGCCGAAGGAGGTCTGGTTGCTGTTACATTTGTGGAGCTACTTTTTGGGGGTTAATGGAATGAAAGGGGGATCATATGGCTGGCTGGCTGGCTAGGTGTTGCTGGATGTAGTAGTATATTAGAGATACCCATTTATTTAGCATTTGCTTCGTTACCACGACAGCCATAGATCATGGTATTCATTGCCTATCTTATTGAATGGGTCATGATCCGCAGCACGAGATAGCTAGCTCACACAGATTCGCTTCATCAACTTAGCGAAATGTGATTGCAAGAAAGCACATGACCAATCAATAAAAGAGAGTATCGAGCGCGTCGATGCCGATCGTTCTGAGAGCCCAAGGGGAGAACTGGGAGCTGGTCGGAGAGGCTTGCGTTCATGGCGTTATGTTATGTTGGGGGAGCTTTGTGATGGGAGTACCTATGTGCCCGTCTAGGTGCGGTGGTGGTGGTTGGAGTGAGGATTTGGTTGGTGTTGAGATACCGGTACCGGGGTGGATCTGATTGCGCAAATCGCGTACCATCCAGAGTCTGAAACTTGGGTTGGCTTTAGCGCTTGCTTCCAACATATGGATAGCGACGAGAAAATAGGTAATGTATCGAGTCGAAATTACGCCCTTGGGCCCCGCGGGTTCTCGATTCCAAGTTGCAAGCCAGTATCGGTACGGTACGGTCACCCGCTTCGTATCGCTGAGCGCGATAATAGGAGGAGTATGGCTCGGTTAATAAGCCAGTGTCCATAGTGGATTGAAATACGCAACCGCTATACCTCCGTCTGCCGGTCTCTCACTCATTATTTTGTTCTTCCTCGGATTACTTTGTTTTTCTTCTCTAATTGTATTGTTTTCTTTTTCTGGCCAAAAAAAAGGGGGGCTTGGCAAAACCTGCCAAGTAATTAGCCCCGCTATACTCAATATCTCAATTTCAACCTCATCTTTCCGTTCCCCACCGCGCCAACGACAAAACACACACCTCTTGCCAAAAAAAGGTCTTTTTCTCCAGCCATGCTTCGGATCAAGCAGGAGAAGAAGAAGAAGAGCCCTGCTAAAAATGCGGCGTGTAGAAGCCAGACTCTGGTCCTCACGGCGCCCGCTTGCACCGAGGCCGGATGTGATGCGCCGTCACGTGAGAGCGAAGGCAACGACGAGAAGGAGAAGAAGAGCATCCCGCCTGCCGGTGATGCGGAGATGAAGCGAGGGGATACCTTCAAAGAGATTATCGCCGCGTGGGAACAGCAGCGTGCCCAAGAATCGAGAGAGCCCAAGAGCCCAGAAAATCCTGCCCCCTCGGCGCTACCAGAGCTGGCCCCGCCAGACATGCCTGCATCGGATTTCCCGAGGTTCGCCGAGGCAGTCGTCGCGGCGCTCAATTCGAACATAGACAGGTACAAGAAGCTGGTCGCGGATAATAAGAGGCTGAAGTCGGAGGTGGGGGACCTGCGGTGCCTTGTGGATCGGATGGTCAAGGCCGGTCAGGAAGTGGCGGATGAGGGCGACCGCTGCGTGGCGGAGAAGACGGCCGAGTGCGAAAACTGGAAGGAGAAGTACGAGAGCGAGAGGTGGGCCAGCCGAAAAGGGGACTTGCTGTGTGAGGAGCAAAGGAGAAAAATCCTGCAGCTGGAAGACGCAAGGCACGGCTTGGAGACCCGTGCAACAACGGCAGAAAACTTGGTAGGATCGTTGACCGAAGAGCTCACCGAGCTGAAGCAGCAGTTCGACGCCCCCAGGATCGATTGGGCTACTCATTTTGCAGACCTCTTGATGACTCGCGATGAACTCCTAGAACAGAAGAGTAAAACAGAGCAAGAGCTGCGGCATAAAACCGAGGAAGTAGAGTGGCTATGCGAGCAGGTGGATGAGAAGGAAGACGAGCTGCACGCCGCGGAGTATGAGCTCCTGGAATACCAGGTCTGGGTCGACGAGCTGGAAAGTCAGGATTGTGACAGAGCCGAGAGCATCGCAAAGCTGAAAGACCAACTTTCGCAAGCGGAAAAGAGATGTCAGGCGCTGACTGAGGAGAACGCCCAGTTCCGAGCATTCTCGCCAGCTGCCGAGACGGAGAAGAAGCTGGCGATCGCGAAGACGACCATTAAGATGCTGCAGGAGATGCAGAAGGAGGCATTGACGAGAGCGAAGACTTTGGAGGAAGAGGCCAAAGACGCGAAGACTAAGATCAAGGACCTTGAGTATCAGTTGGACCTCAAAGCACCACTGGTAGAAGTTGGAGCTGCTATTCGGAAGCGATTCATGGAGTTGTCTCGACGAGACAATCTTGGCTATCAGGGCAAGCTTAACCGAGACATCATCGAAAAGGGTAACGCCGCCGCGCATGGCGATCACCCTGCTGCGGATGCGGCTGTCTTTGGGGCAGGACTATGGGACCACAGGAAGGGGAAGGGCATCTTTCACGCCAACTATGGAATGAAACTTGATGATTATTTCACTGCAAATATTGACATTGAGTCGATGAAAGACAAGTTGTTGGAATTGAGGAAGATGAAATCAGGGAGACGGTCCAGACCTCAGAGACAGTGGATTGAGCTTCTGGGCAAAGCTCTGGTGAACATTGGAGACAAGAAGAGCCGAGGGAGCTATGACCAGGATGCCGTTTATGTGGCGTTAATGCATCGGTTCCTGGCCCTGGCCAAGGAGATCAGAAAAATAGATTCGGAGGAGGAAGATGAAGAGAAGCTCCCGTATACTGTAATTCCCAATCGTGCATTGTGGAACCCCGTACGTACACTGACCTATGGATTAGGCGAAGGGGAAAACGGGTTTGACATTTAGAGAGCAAGTCTGCATTCGACCTGAAGGGGAGCTTTGGCATGCCCAATATGCGGTTTGGAGTATTCAATACACCTACAAAGAGGAGGCTGTACCAATAGACTGGGGCTACGACGACGACGACGACGACGACGAGGACGAGGACGACGATGACGAGGACGACGAGGAAGACGAGGACGACGAGGACCCTGCTTTTCGGAGGCACGGAATTACCTATAGGGACGTGGCTAACCCATGGAAGCTGCCAAGAATCGATCGTAGCGCAGAGGAAACCGATGGGGATGAATTGCTAAGCCTGGAGTGGCCTGAACTTTGACCGAAGATATATGAACACACTAAGAGTATGCATGACTCTACACAATACTGATATGATATACAGAAAAGGAAGATACAGTAAGCTATATTTACTACCTTTCATAACTTGCATCAATGTACGTTTTGTCAAAGAGAGACTAGTTGACTGACGTGGGGGGCAGGGGGGAATACATGTAGATGGAGTAAATGTCTTTTCACAAGCCCTTTAGGATATTCTTGACATATATCAAGAATCTCCTCTCCATAAGATGCGTATCGATAGATGAACAGGATTTTCCCGTGTTCTCGTTGCGGTGATGCGTCGTCAAGGCATGCTGATTATAGGAAAGCTGGGCAGGTGGATGAGTACAATAAACTATTTCTATCTCGGTAATTAGCAGGATGATTTCGATGGGCGGATGTTTGTATAGAAAAGGGCTCGGGATTCAATTGCGAGGAATTTTTGATAGGACTTGCTCAATCTAATGTACAAGGCAGTTTTACTGTTTCTTTGCTGTCGCTATTGCTGTTGCTGTTGTTGCTGTGAAGTGAAATGAAGAAGAAAGAAGATAGGCGAATTCGGGTTTCTTCGTTTCACTTCGGATCAGGCCACTCAACCTCGGTGTAGGGATTTTCCGATAACCATCAAGTAAATCCGTTTGGAGCGAAACAATATTGAACAGGCGACTTTCCTTCTCTCTTTCTTCCACAAACCTTCGACAAGCTGCGAACAACCCAACCAGCACAATGAGCGACCAACTCCACGGCGGCTGCTCCTGTGGGCGCAACGCCTACACAATCACTATCCCTCAAAACGCAACCGAGAAGCCCCAGGTCTTATTCGAGAACAGCCACGGATCACGTACGTCCTCCTTCTGACTCCCCCGACCTTACTTGCACGTGGGTGCGTCGTGCGTGCGAATCAACTAATTGACCGCAGGCAAATCGCACGCTACGCCACTCTCCGCTTGGCTGAAGGTCCCTCTCTCCTGGTACCAGTCGACCACTCAGGCCTTTATGAGCGACGAGTCGCACGCCGCCATCCGCCGCACATACACCTCGCCCAGCGAGCAAAACTGCCAGCGCCACTTCTGCGGCTTCTGCGGCACGCCGTTGAGCTTCTGGTCCGAGTCGCCGGCCACCGAAGCGTCGTACATCTCCTTGACCCTGGGCTCGTTGGCGAGTAGTGATCTGCGAGATCTGGAGGATCTGGGATTGTTGCCTGCGGAGGCGCTGGACGATACCGAGGCTGGTCAGGAGAAGATGGAGAAGACGGCTTCGCTGGCTGGCGGTGGTGGGCGGAGTGGACAGGGCAACGAGGGACTGCCGTGGTTCGAGACGATGGTTAAGGGTAGCAGGCTGGGCAACGTTCAACGCATCTGGGGAGAAAAGAGGGCTGGGAACGGGAGGTTCAAGATTGAGTGGGAGATTGTCGAGTGGACTGCCGCGGATGAGGAGGGTGGGGATGGTAGTGTGCCTTCTGCAAAGAGGAAGATTGGGCAGGTTGTGGAGAATGAGATGATGGAGTAAGGGCCTGAGCTGTGCTTAGGATGGCGTATGGAATAGAGGCTGGGTTGGTAATGGAAGTCTCATGACGATACGAAGATACTACGAAGTTTACGGACATTTGCTGGGTTAGCAAGGCGGTGGATGGGTTGTGGACGGCGTCTGCTGACATTACTGTCATATGAGAATACGTCTTGCTGTACCTGAGCTTGTAATAGACAGTCTGCTCAGTATGTAGGCCGCGGACCAAATGTACTACTACACACCAACACAAGCCCAACCTTCCGCACACTATTCCACTCATGAACTATACTACCAGGTGATGCACCACCCATTTCCATATCACGACTAAAGCGCCTGGTCACGTGAGGACAAGCAAAGAAAGCGCTTGCCATTTCCGTTGTTTTCCCGACGGCTGCTCGCTTCCGCCCGCCATCCCGATCCCGCATGTTTATTGTGATCACTCATCAATCATTGCCAGACATGATCATCTTTTTGACATATGTTGGATGTTTCGGAACAGAACATGCACACCGCTTCAACACACGTATCTCAACGCATGTATCTCGAACAGTCCAAGCTCCATCTCTCTCTCTCTCTCTCTCTCTCTCTCTTTTCCTCTCTTTTCCTCTCCCGCCTCTCAGCTGAAGGAAGTTCATCATGGATCCAATCCAATCTAGTCCAATCCAATCCAACCCAATCCAGCTCATAAGCTGGCCGGGTCGGGTCGGGTCAGGTCTGGTCACTCAACCGTGGATCTCTCTGCACGTATGCGGGGTAGTTTGTGCCTCTCAACTCCTTCATCCGTAGTCTCACTGGCCAGCCGCATTATCTGTGGCTTGGGAGCTCGCTGATCGGATGATTGAGTTCCTGGGTATAAAAGCTTCTTCTTCTTAGGCTCTTACCCTCTTCTCCTTCTCCCCTCCTTCTCTCCTCCTCGTGCACCTCCAACTTCTATATCCCATCCCCAACCTCCATCTTCAAACTCCAAACTCCAAACTCCCTCTCTGCCCCCAGAATCGCACGATCAGGCCATCATGGGAATCACCACCACCGAAGTTCCCAAGTCCGTGCAATGGAGTGGTAAGCAAGTCCCCGTCTACCCCATGCAGACGGTCGACTTCTCGCGTCTCCTTTCGCAGGAGCCAACCGAGATCGAGAAGCTTGTAAAATGCTGCCAGACCGAAGGCTTCTTCTACATCGACCTGCAAGGCATCGATGGCCGGAGAATGCTGGAAGACCAGCAGGAGACTTTGAAGCTCATGAAGCGATTCTTCGACTCCCCATTGGAGGTCAAGAACGAGTACGGCCTCGTCGCACCTCATCTGGGATACGAGCCCGTTGGATCGCGCACTGGAGTCCTCCCTGGCACCAAGGATGGATACGAAATGGTCAAGGTATGGCGTCTGGCTCTCCGGATAAAGCTAGGTTGGATCGTGTTAATGATCGCCTAGGTATCACGGGATGAGATCCAGGCAGAGTCTCCTCACATCCCCCGCAACATCAAGAACAACGGAGACATCAAGATCCTTGAGAACGCCATTGCTGGTTCTAACATCATCACCAAGGTTGGTTTACACCCAGAGCCCATCTTCTCATACTGTCGGGCCCTGCATCGTAACCGAACCAAGGACTAACATGTCGAGGAAAGACCATCTTGTCTGCGCTGTCAACTGGCCTGGGCCTCACAGGCAAGGACCGATTCGAGAACTCACACCGAAATGAGCGCCCATCAACATCCACGCTGGCCATGATGCACTATATCCCATCGAACCCTGTGACGGAGAAGAACATTGGACACCAAAAGCACACCGACATCAGTTCGCTCACTTTGCTCTTTAGCGAGCAATGGGGTCTCCAAATCAGACCTCCTGGTAAGTTTACACTGTGTCGTCGCAACTGCCGTAAAACTTTGCATACTCATCCGTTCCAGGAGCCAAGGAGTTTGGCTTCGTCGCCCCCAAGGTCGGATCAGCGATTGTCAACGTCGGCGACTCCCTCCGTTTCGCGAGCGGCCACACGATGCAGTCCTGCATCCACCGCGTCGTGCCCTTGGACCACGCCGAGCACCGCTACTCCATCGCGTACTTCCTCCGCGCCGAGGACGAGACCATGTTCACGGACTCCAACGGCAGATTCGTCACGGCTGGGCAGTGGCACGACGAGAAGTTCTTCGCCTTCATGTCGCCGCCAGAGATTCAAGCTGAGGCTCCGAGCTACCTGCTGCTGGGTGGGATGGAGGAGCAGGAGGACCTTTCAGCTGCTCAGGTGCTGAAGAATGCCGCGAGATCTGAAGCGACGACGACAATTTCTGTCTCCTAGTTACTACTCGTCAAGAGGATGGTTGGATAGTGGGCGTTGGTGCCACGGGGGTCTGTGGCATTGGCTTATGAATTAAGGAAACCATTAACAAATTTTCCCGCGTGGATCTCTGATTGAATTTTCCCGAGCATTGGAGAACGTGTGGTGTAGTACCGGGGGGTTGAACGGGTGCGCTCCCAGCATCTCTTTTCCACTAACAGTCTTGGGGCAATCTCTCGCTCGTCGTGACCAGACAGCCAGCAGCCAGCGGGCAGCGGGCAGCTCTGTAGATGAAATGAGCTTGAAGGGGAGGGGAGGAGGATCCTCCTCTTCACTCCCGAAGTTGAAAATGCTTCCCGGGCCCGGGCCCCGGTAAGCTCCCACCACCTCCATTATAGGAACCATTATAGGAAGGAACCCAAACCTAAGGTGCTTGAGCGCGGCGGCGCTAATTGACTTTCTTCAAGTGTAAGTAAGTACTACGTAAGTAGGTACTTGTTGCACTTGAGGTGATGAGAAGGGGAGGAGAGGGAAC